AAAAACAAACAAAGGAATACACAAATAAGACGCGAACGCGCGCGCGTGTGTGTGTGTGTGTGTGTGTGTGTGTGTGTGTGTGTGTGTGTGTGTGTGTGTGTGTGTGGTGTGTGTGTGTGTGTGTGTGTGTGTGTGTGTGTGTGTGTGTGTGTGTGTGTGTGTGCGCGTGCGTGCGTGCGTGCGTGTGTGTGTGTGTGTGTGTGTGCGTGCGTGTGTGTGTGTGCGTGCGTGTGCGTGGGTGTGTGTGTGTGTGCATGTGTATTTGCATTCACTGGTTGCTTGTATATAAATAAGAAATCGGTACATTTGAAACATTATTCGATAACGATAAAAGGCGTCGTTTTAGAGATATATTCTTAAGAATGAAAAAAGTCATGTGTAATAAAATATATAAAAAAATACTGAGAGAAAAATACATTTTTTTTTTTCAAAATGCCCTCAGAACATTATGTGCCGATAAAATTACTGGATTTGCTAAAATATTTGTTATGGGACATTTTGTTGTGTTATTATGTTTATTATTATACAAAATACATAAAATTCAGACATGTAGAAAAAGTACGAAAAGATTGTCGCCGCTGTGGGAATCGAACCCACATCTTGGGCATTCGCGGCCTGACGCTTTAGCCACTGAGCTAAACGGCTGATAGCCACTGCGACTAAAATCTTAAACGCCTTCTTTCTACATTGTTATTTAGGCTATTATTTTTAAGTACATTCTGAAAATAAATTATCTCAACATTCTTTTCGTACTTTTTCTACATGTTTTAATGTTCAATCTTAAGTGCAGGGATTAGCACTATAAAAAACTTTAAAATACATAAAATTCAGCACAAAATACGACATAGTAATAAATTTTTTCTCAAATATTTTCATTATTATTATATTTAATTATGTCACAGCCGCGATAGCTCAGTGTCCGGGGGCTCGCCTTTAATTCAATATACTCGAGCAACCTGAGTTCGATCCCCGGTGCCGGCACCAATGAAATTATTAACTTTAAGTGCTGTCTTATGACATGCTCCGCGGTGAAGGAAAACATCGTGAGGAAACCTGCATATTTTCGAAATAATAACAAAAAAAAAATATTTCGAAGATGTGTGAAGTCCGCCAATCCGCAGTGGGGCCGCGTGGTGGACTATGCCCTGATACCCTCTGTATAGAGGAGGCCTTTGCCCAGCAGTGGGACATGTATAGGCTGTTACTTTACTTTTTACTTATGTCACAACGAATTAAGCTGCACTCAAGCTACGCTGCCAATTCGTTTTGGTCGTATCGGTGTAAGGAAAATTTCTAGTGTCGCTTTATTTCTACCGGCCTTCCTTGCTTCCGTGCGTAGAGTATATAATTTATGTAATAATATCCTTAATCACAATTCAGAACTTTCCTATGCCGAGGAGGCAAGGATGGCTTGGCTGTCTATCTGCTCCAACGAAAATATCCTACTGGAAGTCAACCTACAAAAACAGTGGGATGTTCTTTTGGTGTGGAGAGTACAGAAAGATACGTTTCAATCTTTAGAAAGTAATTTAGAGCGTACCCGTTTCCTAGACGTCTCATCTAAAGAATCGAGTTATTGGCTTCACGTTTTACCATCAAGTAACTTGGAATCCGTCTGGGGCAAAGAGTACATTATTAATAAAGATTCATCAGTCTCCTCGTGAGACAGCGCCATCTCTTGATGTGGGACCGAACTACAAGTTCAGATGTTTATAACCTATACTATTTAACTAGGTATTTTGTTTTTACAGTTGAGAGCTGTATTCAACTACAGTTTTCTATATAGTGTATATGAAATTTATTTCATTTATATTTTATAACATTGTATAGAAAACTGTAATTGGATACAAGCTTGCTAAATGTTATTTTTGGATAAAGTAAATAAAATACAGAAATATGTTTTGCGAACTCTTTCGTTTTTTATAATATTCACTCGCTATTTTTTTTTTATAATCTTTGTTATGAATGATTTCGAATCTGGTGCCGTTTAGTAAATTATTTACGTTAAATTATTTTTGGCTATCCAAAATCAGTAAATTTCCTCCAATCGATGGAATACATGTTTTAAATCATTCAATATAATTTTCAGGTGAGAAAAAGAATGCAAATTTGCATTGCAGTCTTTACCTGTAATACAATATGAATGCTTTGCCGAAACGTATAACAAAATAAAATGATGAATAATGAAAGATAACCGAATAAAATAAATGAATAACCGGCCGCTGTTCAGTGTTACCAACTGTTGAAAAAAAAAAACTCTTAAAGAATTTCAAAACCCTCCTAAAATCCACTGTTTTAAAAAAAACTTCCGAAATGAAAAAGTCACCTTTTTTAAAATATCTAACAGGCTAGAATTTGCGGAAAATTTAATAATCTGGGTAATCAAAACTGTTTTATTTAAAAATTAACTTAATTAATATACTTGACCTTGAACATTGTTCATTGACTTGAAGAATATTTATACAAATTAAATACATTTTATTGTGAACGTTATAATCATTTTCATTATTTTTAAGAATCAGACAATAAATAATGGGAATAAGTATCATTCAATTATAAAAGATCGGAATGAAACATAACTACCATTAAATTCATTGTCTTTTTCCCACTTAGCAGCATATTTTGAACATATCCTGTGGCAATTTTTTCACCATTTGGCATGTTATATTACTTATTAAATGAGTTTAATATATTATAAGTAGTGAGAGCAGTATATTCACAATAAGAGTTTATGGCGGAACAATTTAAAATACTACATAGGCCAATGCTGCCAATACTATTACATTATATTTTGTTTTCTTTTTTCAAATTAATAATTTTTGCTTAATAAAAATAAAATTTTCTCCAAAATAAGGACCATACATAATATTTTTTTTTTTAATTTATTTTAACTTAAAAAAAATTGTTTTTAATTTAATGGTACCAAGGTTAAAATGGTTTTGCATTTAAAACTACGCCATCTGTTTTCGACGGACGGAACTAAACGGAATGAGCAAGCTCCATGCAAATATCAAATGTATGGACTGAATGAATTGAACAAAATGATCTTCTAATGATCATAACGATCAGTCAAAATAGTTTAACCAAACTTTTGGCAACTATAATGAAATTTGAAAGCCAATTGACAGCTGATTAGTTGACATCTGCGATGACCAGTGTTTCAGAAACCAGCCGTTAATTTTGTAAATATTTACATTGTTAGTTAAGTACAAATGAAGCCAAAAAGGCGTGTTAATAATAAATAATTAAGTCATTATATTGAACTTTATATATTTATTAGTTTCTTCTATTATTTTCTTTTTTTAAAAATTGCCCTCATTTTAGGATAACATTATCCTGTGTTGCAAGGACGTTTTACAAACATAAATTGCACGAGGACAAACACCCAGATGCGAAACAACTATCTGTGGGTCGCACAAATAGTTGTCCAGTGTGGGAATCGAACCCACGACACCCGACGCCGAAGCCAATACCTTGGCATCTGCGCCATGGAGTCATCAAATTATTATATAATTTACGACTATTAAGTACTAATAGTACTTGTAATTGTTAAAATTTTCGACTATTTTGGTTCATTTTGTTTTTATTTACTGAATTTAATAGCATTTGTAATTAGATTATGTTTGTATTAATTACATTATTTGTGAAATATTTGCATGCCTATGCCGCAAAATATATCTGTACTTTATATCTATATTGGAAAACTTTATTTACTATATTTCTGCAAATAAAGATGACAAGATGCAGAAAAAGAACTATTTTGACGTCAAATTGGAACTCCATTTTAATAAAATTGCTGCAGTTCTATTGTACCTTAGCGCTGATTTGGCTCCAAAATTCTGTAAAATGGCCAAGTTTACGATCCCAGGATTGTAACTTGTTGAATTTTTATTTTGAACTACATTTAGAAACAATACGGCTATCAGAACAACAGTTTCCTTTTTCGATAATGAAATGATTTAAGTGTGTGCATGTCACTAAGTTTCGTGCTTGTATTTGTATATCTACTAGTTACAAAATATTTTAGGTTAGATAAATATAAATTCGTAAGCATTCCCAAGAAAAGTTGGCGTCAGGCAGGTTATAAAAATAAAGTTAATAACTGAAATAACAACATAGTTCCGAAAATAAATGATGGACATGTTGTGCCGACCCCTCCTATTGTAGGATAATAAGGATTACGGGCAGGAGTTAAATTCTATTGCCACATAAAACAAAATATGGACTTATTATTGTCATTATCACACATGTCTTACGCCTAAAAGTATATTTACCAAAAATAAATTATTTCACTTTATTTTTGGTAAATATACTTTTGCATTAAAATAAAGTATGTGAAAATACTTTATTTTCGAACGCTTACAATATATAATGTGTTTAAATGAATAATTACCGAACTTTTATTGATACTTCTAAGTTAAAACAGTACGCTCTCTAATTAGAAGCTTTAGCTGTTACTTATATTTTATTATTAAACAAAAACATTTTCGTTTTCCCTAGAAAGTTTTATCACTTTTTTCTTACGGGATAATTTGTCGTTTGATATATTTTTAAACCTTTGTGGGATCAGAAAGATCATCTTAATTCATATTAATAATTTATCACTATGTTCAAAAAGTAAATTAAATGGAAGAAACTTTATAATAATTCGGAAAACTATGTCTGTCGCAAATATATTAACTTACATATTAAATATTTCAAAACAAGTTATTGTCAGAATGATCAATTCAGAGTTTAACCATCCTTTTGAGCGCTCAAATGACGTTTGAAAAGCCATTTGACAGCTGATTAGTTGACTTGACATCTACGATTATCAGTGTTTCAGAAACCGGGCGTTATTATCATACTGTCAAAGTCACCGTCAAGTGTCAAGTGTCAACCAATTGTCACCGATTTGGTTGGCGCACCTTTTTATTGTAACATTATTCATCAAAATGTGTTTGCGTGCATTTTTATTGGTTTTTATTGTTTATTCAGCGAACGTTTTATGTACTCAAGATATGGAGGTTAAAACAGAGGAAGATGTTGGTGTTAAATATGCTAACAGGTGTGAAGTTTGCAAAGTACTTGCAACCGAATTGCAGGGTAGACTCGAAGAAACCGGCAAAGTGCATGATGTAATTGAAATCGGATATTCATTAGACGATGTTCAACCAAAGAAGAAAACAAAATATGAGAAGTCGGAATTAAGATTAATAGAATCTTTGGAGGGTGTTTGCGAGAGAATTCTAGAATATAATATACACAAAGAGAGACAAGACAGTACAAGATTCGCAAAAGGTATGAGCCAGACATTTAAAACGCTTCATGGGCTTGTTGACAAGGGAGTTAAAGTAGATTTGGGAATACCTTATGAGTTATGGGATAAACCCTCTGCAGAAATTACTCAAATGAAGACACAATGTGAGAGTCTGTTGGAAGAGAATGAAGCTGCGATTGAAGAGTGGTATTGGAATCATCAAGGTACTATAGATTTAAAACACCATCTTTGTACAAAGAATGCCTTGAGAAATTCAGATGACTCCTGTTTGTTTGAAGATTTAGATAACTCTAAAGGGGAGAAAAGTGAGCTCTATAAGTCTGAACTTTAATTTTAATGATATCAAATACATTTTATATTTACTATGTTACAGTGTGTAAGTGAAATAATATAATTCATTCCCATAACATATTTTCATTTAACAACATTTTTCATATTCCCATAACTTAATTTATAACCTTTCTGCTGCTTTCTGTTGTGTTCATGGTATATTCATATAGTTTTTGTAATATGTAAAAATTAATTCAATTAAAGCAAGTAATTTCCTTCGTCTTCTATTCATCACATGTTTTAATTTTGGTTGTAATGTTTGTCTAAATTATTGAAATTCTTAATAACCATGAACATTTACCCAAACTTGCAATTTACTTTATTTTTATAACTTTTATATATTGAGAAGGAAATTTAACATAATTATACATAATAAAAAATCTAATGATGTTAACTACATGATGTTGCCCTGCTCATGTATGTACTATACTATACAGAAAATGAAATTGTTTACACTTTTTAAATTGTATCCACATTTGTAGATGACAATTATAGATAATACATCTACAAAGGAATGATTTTCAGATTTTTGCCAGTCTAAACCTCAATACTTCTAGTGTGATGACTGCCCCGACATAATGTAGTACTGTCTTTAAAATAGGCAAAGAAGCCTTGTTGCTGAAGTATTACTTGGGACATTTCAGAAATTTTTTTTTTTTAAGCTCTACACTTGCTCAAGCCTTAGTTAAGTAGTTTTGAGGATGTTTACTAGAACTGTAGTTGAAAACATCTACAGAACTACTTAATATTTTACAAATTGAAATAAAAATACAGTGGCGGATTTACCAGCAGGATAAGTAGGCTGGTGCCTAGAGCGGCAGATTTTAGTGGGCAGCAAATTTGCCCCTAAAATGTTTGTCGTGATAGCTCAGTGTCCGGGCGCTCGCCTTTAGTAGTGCTCGCCTCGAGCAACCTGAGTTCGCTCCCCGGTGCCGGCACCAATGAAGTTTTTAACTTTAAGTGCTGACTTATCACGTGCTCCGCGGTGAAGGAAAACATCGTGAGGAAACCTGCATATTTTCGAAATAATAACAAAAAAAAAATATATTTCGAAAATATGTGAAGTCCGCCAATCCGTAGTGGGGCCGCGTGGTGGACTATGCCCTGATACCCTCTATATAGAGGAGGCCTTTGCCCTGCAGTGGGACATGTATAGGCTGTTACTTTACTTTTACTTTTACTACAGAAATACTAATGTATATCTTTATTTCCAATATGAATTGTCGGACTGTGGTAGGGCTACGCAAAAGTGTTGACTGTTGCAGGTGGGCAGGTCCGTCTGGGTTAGTACCACAATCTCACAGAAGACCGGCGTAAAGTAAAAATGTTACACTTACGTGTTTTGTCTTGTGAGTGAGGTAGCCAGGGCCCACTTTATTTAAAGACGACAATGCATTTGCGACATTAGGGTATCAAACAAACTTGCTGAGCATTTTCGATTGTCAAACAGATTCTGTGCCTGTTGAGCAGCGGGAGGCAGGTCTCGACGCATACGTTGCGCTGGCGATCGTTAAATTCGTTGGGCACTCATTTATCAAGCTTTTTTACCTTTCCATATTGACTGACGCATATGGACCAATATTGTTTTGATGCTAACATCAAAAGCTGCTGCTAGCTCGGCTGTAGATTGAGTATTATCAGTTTCCACAATCACGTTAAATTATCATTGCTGAACAAAGTGTCCGGATGACCACAAAGTTAATTTTTCACGTCAAACATTTCTGGAATGGAACCGGGCAACAATAACGGGTTCCGCCGTTCATTTATAAAGTTCTCTCCGTAAATGTTGTTACGTGCCGTCTGTGAAGCGCTGGTGCCACGACGGAACTCATATTCCATAATTATACATTATGACGAAAAATGTTCAAATGTAATGAAAATACAAAGTGAATCAATAAACATAAGATTGACTATGTAAAAAGAATTTCACTTTTGAAAATCAAATTAATTTTAATTTAGAATTCAGCCAATCAAAACTTTTTTTTTTTATAAATGACCAGTACTGAAGAATGGCAATTTCATAGGTAAAGATAAAGACCTTTAATTACATTTGTATTTTCTCAAATCAATACTGATCATGGCGAATATTTAGGATTGTCAGTTTTTTGTTTTACTGGTGTTATAAATATATTTTTAGTCTTATTTCTGTTTCATATCTTAAAAAGAAAAAGATCATAGTAGTTTCATGTATGGATTTGATTTGTTTATTTACAGGATGAAACCAAATCAAATCTAATATAAGAATACAAAGTAAAAATATAAGAGTGGAATGGTCTTTGAAATAGGTAAAATTAATGTATACAAATTTGATCAACATAGTCATTTGCTGTTAACAAAGATAAATTCATCTCAGGATGAAAAAAAAGATGTATCTAAAATAAGCACCTCTTTAATCAACTGTCAAAATGTACCATACAAACAATATTCTGCTTCCTCCTGTCAAAGCACAAGTGTTTCCAAGGTGCAACAAGTACATTTCTGACCTTTCCACCCGCAAATAAACGGTAAAGTGAGATAAGGTTTATAATAAAAATCATAAATAAAATAATAATATGGTTACATCTAATAGGATTAAATACATTCACTCCGTCATACAGGCAGGCATACCAAATTCGAAGTTTTGACATAGACTAAAATAATTTAACACAAATGGTATTTCAAAGAAATGCACTTTTCACAGTGACATAGTTAAATGATATTAGATGATTTACATCATAAAAAAATACTATTTGCCTTACTAAGCCTTATCGCCTTAATTATTGAGTCGATATTTGTCTTTACGTTTTGTAACCCCTAATACGAGACTAAAGACGCATAAATCCACTAAATTTACACACACTTGTGTAATTTACATTGTCACATGCTGCAAGTCCATGGCCCAGTCTAAATTCTGTAACTCACTGCAATGCGAACAATTGTTGAATTGATTGTTGAAAAATAAGTAATAAATAAATTTAACAACTATTTACCTTGATAAATTTAACCTATTGATTTGTGAGTTTTCCAGGGACCTGCAGACATGTATTGAATTCCATATATTCTCTAGCAGTCCGCTGCTAGTTAGGGGACCCAGACCCTCTGGTATCCCTGTGCCCCTGGGTTTGGAGGCTACTGTTGAAAAGGATCATATCCTCAGGGGCGTGAGGTCAAGGGGCATATCCTATAGGTACTGGCTGGTGTCTTGGTAGTCATCGTCACTGTCGGAACCGTCGTCGGTCAGCTGGCGGTGTGTGGCCTCTTCCGCGTCCCCAACACCGTCAGAGCTCGATGCATCTATAAATAGCGAGCCGGTTGCGATTTTAGAAACTTGATGCACTTTCATAGACGACTACGAATTTTATATTATGATCTTTAATTGAGATGGACTCCAATGTCTGGCAGAGTACTTAGTCTTCGACAGAAATATCAAATGTAGGTTCCGAATTTGGAAACACTAGAATTCAAACAATCGACAATATTTATAATTTTGAGTGCTGTCAAATTCATCTTCTTTATTAGATATAACATCAATGCTAAAGCGTTGTTGCAACTGTTTTTGTTAGATATGCATGAAGACAAAAATAACTGTCTGGTGCTAGATATAAAATTAATAATCGAAAGCTATCTAAGCAGGTCTTGAGATGTGTTATGAAACTAAAATTATTGATAAAACTACGGTTGGCAATAAAATCCGGCAATAGTCAGTAGGTAGTGATAAAAGCATAAATCGTTATTACCGCTAATTTTAAAATTCTATGATACTACTAAGTGATACAAATAATGGATATAGTATTTATATCTAACAGCATGGTTTGTGTGCAGTTCCACTATTGCGTGCTTGTGTCATGTTAGTGTACAGTTAGGTCCCTCTATATCTCTTTCACTTTATGACTATTTTTATATTAAAAACCGTTGAAATATTAAAAACTATTATCAATAGAAGGACTTTAATAACCGGCGATTATTTTTAAATTATCTATAGAGTGATGTTGGCATTTCGAATATTGTACAGTTAAGGCGCACGCGCGGAATTCAACAGGGACCCAAATGTATTCTTCTACACTATCTAGTACAAGCAAAGCATAGTTACCCAGTTACCTGCTTGCGGCTCCCATAGTGTTTCGTAGCGTCGCGACTTTGGCGGCGGCGGCGACACCGACCTCCTGCAAACGGAACACAATATTGGGAAAACGTACAAATTTCTGCATCGTGGAAAACCTCTAGTGGGTATAATGTGAATGAAATATGAGCTTCGGTGTAGTCTGGATGAGCTTTTTTCCTCTTTAAGTTACATTTTGACTCCTTAGCCTGGTGAAACGCGGGCAGCGCAATCGCCGAGGTTCAGGCTAGGCGCCCCGTGCGCCAGGCCACCTCAAGCTCGTCGGTACTCTGAAGGCCTCTAAGGCGAAAAAAAAGAGCAGCGCAAACTATTGTACCTCTAAATCGATGTAAATAAATACTTCAACCCACAAAGGTTTGTAATAATCAAGCTACGCGGAGAGAGAGTTTTTATAATATTTCTATAAACATATTTTTTTTCGTCTCCATAGAAAAGTATCAACCTGTGGGTTACAACGGATGAGTTTTCTCACATCGATTGACGGATATTTCAAGTCCAATAGTGTAAGTTTTATGCCCGACTGAACTGGCCCCCTAGGTCGGTCCTAATGGATTTACACGCTTACACGCGACCTTTAATAGTTTATAAATAGAAATAAACATAATATATATGTATGTTGCATATGTAAAATAAATTTTATAAATAAAAATAAACATATAGATAGAAATATTGTATATAATACATTAATAAATAGGACCCAACCAGGCGTAAGCCCTCGGGCAAGGGAGACCAAACGGCCGAGGGTTAGGGCGAAAGTGAGGGAAACCGTCGGACGATACGGGCGGTATCGAGGAGCACCGCCTTATAATAATATAATAATTTTTATTAATATTATATAAAGTCGTCACAAAAGGTTCAGCGGTGATCGCTTACCATCGGGTGACCCCGCTTGCTCGATTGCCTCATTTTTTCCACACTGTGCATCGCTCATTGCGAGTGCCCACCTGTGGTCCATAGAGTCGCCGTTCTCGCTGGGCGGCGGCGAGGAGCGCGGCGACGGCGGCTGGCTGAGCGCCTGCATCAGCCGCCCCTTCGACTCGTTCCAGATGCTCGACAGCCGCCCGTCGGGCCCGAACAGCAGCAGGAACGCGTCGATCAGCTCGCGCGACTTCTCCTCCCACTTGGCGAGGATGTCCACCCGCTTCTCGCCGATGTTCGTCATCACCTGGAACGGGGCGCGGCTTTAGATATGCGCACTTGAACGTCCCCCGGTATCTCCCAAATCCGTAATCTGTATCTCGCATCTGTAGTACAGTTACTTACTTAGTTGTTACAACTTACAGTTTTATTCACTTTAAACGAATATTTAATGTATTGTAACAAAACATTAATTTATAAAATTGTTCAACAACTAAATGAAATTATGAAATAATTAAGAAATCACCGTTCGCGTAACATGACACTTTTCGTAACGCTCGCGTCACGCATTCACCGGCTTACTCAAGTCAAGCGTGCGTAAAGAAGTTTTACTTCAAAAATGCAAACGTGTGAGTTTGAACCTGCGACCTTGAAAACCATGCGACCACCGACCTTCTTTCCCTTGTCCTTGAGCTCGTCCATCTTGTTCTGGAGACGGAACTTCTTCTCGTTGAGGAAGGACACGTTAAGCTCCTTGGCCGAGTAGCCACGCGCTAGATTCCGACGCACGTATATGTCGTAGTCGCGCACGATCCGCGCAACAATGTCCGATGTGGAAACGCCTGAAACAATTTATAGTAATTTTTTGATATAGATAGAGAATCTCCCTTACTTCTCCTGTTCCACTTTTCCACTTATGTCTTATGTATAATTTCCTCTGTTCCACTTAATTTCTTACGTTCTAAATTTATATAAAAATTAGAACGGCTACGTGGCCCCATCACGCTTCTAAACCCTTCTTATAAAAAAAAGCAATAACGACCCGAATGGCATAGTGGGCAGTGTACCTGCCTCCTGCGCCAGTGGGTGTGGGGTTCGATCCCCACTACTAGAAAAATTATGTGTGATGTGACATAGTACTTTTCTAGTGTCCGGGTGTTTATATATTCAATTATGTATTTATTTAAAAAAGAAAAATTATGTTTGAGTATGTTTATCAGTTATCTAGTGCCCATAGTGAAAGCGTTGCTCAGTTTGGGGGCTAGAGAACGTTGTGTAAAAATGTGTCCCAAAAATATTTATTTATTTAAGTCCGCCCACCTTCCGTCCTCTCGGTGGCGACGAACATGTCCTTGGCCTTGATCATCGCGTAGGTATCCTCGCAGTCCTCGGTAGTGTACGGGATGTCGTCGTGGGCAACGAAGTCGATCTTGTGCTTCTCGAGGAACTCCTCGTCGTACTCCCAAGGCGCATCCCTCACGACCTGCGAAATGGCACGTCGCTTTTCACATTTCGTTACGGTAGACTAGCTCGTGCAGTGCGCGCGAACTTATGTGAACTCACAAGTCAAGCACCAGTCCACAAAAGTGTAGTTTACAGATATCGTATGGGGGGGGGGGGGGGGGGGGGGGGGAGCGAAGCATTATACCCTCCGCACTATAAATCTCTTTCTCTCCCACTTAACATGTGTTCACTCGGGAACAAAAGTTGCCGTTTGGTTGAGCATAATAGTTTTTTTACTAAAAGATATTTATGCATTAAACTTGCGGTGTCAACTGCATTCAGATGTTTGAAGTTATTGTGACCGGTACAAAGTTAAATTTATAAGTCTACCAAGAATATTTAAAATTACTAAATAGTAAAAACATCGCGTAGCCAATATACTATTATATTACAATATTTTCCGAAGATTTTATTTAGATTAAGATTTTATTTAAATTTCATGTTTTTATTTTAATTTCTTGCTTTCAAGTAGTGATCAAATTTTATGAAAAAGTCGCGATCTATACATTTTTAAATCAGCCTAAAATATATAAAATTGAGAGTAGCTTTCAGAAAGAACACAGAATTCCTTATATAGTTTATCTTTATTTAAATAGGGCGAAGTAGCATGTCAGATCTACTTTTATTCAAGTCGAGCTTTCCGTGGGCTGTGACCTAAATTGGCGCAGGGCGTAGGCGTCGAGGGGCGTCTAACAATGTCGCCCAAGAAACGGGCTACACTTAAGGCTTTAAATTTCTGCACATTCTGCTTCGTCTAACTGTAATTAAAATAATGATCTTCTATATTTCGATGGAATACAACAATAGATGATATATCAGTTTATATTAATGAATGCTTTAATTAAAATTAAAAAAAATATATTCATCTGGTTTCTTATTTGTATCAGACGCTTAGAACTTCAGCAAATTATATGATGTTAAGAAACATTAAAAAAATGCTATTTATTTTAATACTTTATTTATCAATGGCTCTGTAGAAAAGCTTAGTGTGATTTAATGTTTACAAATGACAGTTTTAATTCGATAGTTTCGATAGTACAACAAGAGCGATACAGTAATATCAATTATTTACTGCAAAAGAAAAAACGCTTAGTGGGTTTTTTTTTTATGTGAAAAGTTGCCAAGCGAGCAGACGGTAGACCTGATGTTAAGTGAATACCGCCGCCCACGGACATCTGCTACGTTGACAACCTTTTGAAAATTGGGCTCCGGCTACCTCACTCACCAGATGAAACGCGAAAGTATCATACTTCTACTTTACGGCAGTCTTCTCTGAGGTCGTGGGACTTACCCCGATGAGCCTGCCCATTCGTGCAACAGCCGAGGCTGCTGCGTGGCCCTACCACCGTAGGCCACGCAGCCATTGTTTTAAGATCCCTACACTTCTTAGCTGTACACCGTCTTTGATCACCAGACAGGCTTTATTTATTTATTCATCATCATCGCAGAATCAGCTGTCAAATGGCTTTCCAAATGTTATTTAAGTTGGAGAGGGTGTGGCGTGGCCCTACCACCGTAATACTTTTTTAACTGGGTTTTCTAACGTGCCTTGTATATTGCACTGTGAATGAATCATGCAAAAAGCATGTAATTACAGTATTTTTTCCATATTCAGTTATACACATTAAATACACACAGTGTACTGTTCTGCATTATTTCACGCGAACAATCTAATCAGGCGTGCTAAGTGTTAGAACAATCTGTGTCTTACGGTAAATTTTTAAGTAAACAAAGATAAGACCTTGAATTTAGTCTGAGGTTCGAAATCGTTATATTTAGATGCATACCATTTTCAGCCTCCGAAAATATAATCCGAAGCCGAAAATATAATTATACTCCTCTGTGTCAGGCTTTTCACCAAAGGTTATATTGCCAGTACCATACCAGTGATTATTACATGTGCAAACTGTGAAAATTCACAGCACCGTGGACTCCGGTCAGTTCAGTGACGAAACGAAAGAAAGTTGTACAATACTACTACATCACGCCGGTCTCCTGTAATGCCGGGGCACTACACCGCATGAGCCTGCCCATATATGCCACAACGGAAAACTAGGGATGCCGAAAGTGAAGACATATATCGATATTTATAAAAATATCACTATCGACCTCGATATATCGATATTTTCTTTTTAGGACCTCTTGTCCAAAAAAAAAACGTATGCCAAGTATTCAATATTTGAATGTAGGGACTCAATCCCGGATTCGAATTTGAAAAAAATATCGTTTTTGATACGATTTACATATCGAATTTTTCGTATCGATATATCGGATCAAAATATATGGGCTAAAAATATCGATATATTTTAAAAAAAAATGTCGATCTTTTCTCAGCATCCCTAAAAATTTTAAACCTGTTATAGTGCTATCTCTCACTTAAGATTAAACATTAAAACTCGTACAAAAAGTACGAAAAGATTGGCGCCGCTGTGGAAATCGAACCCACGTCTTCGGCATTCGCGGCCTGACGCTTTAGCCAATAGGCTAAACGGCTGATTGCCACACCGACGAAAATCTAAACGCTTTTCGTACTTTTTCTACGAGTTTTAATCCCTAAAACTGTCGCGTGGCCCTAACGCAGTAGTACATGTCGATAGTGATCGACGAGGTGGCAGAGCGATATCATTGCGGTGGACGAATTGGAGACCTCAGAGACGACGGACGTTAGCTGCAAATCGGAAGCTTTAACGCTACTTAAAGCTTTTGACCGGTATCGGGACGCTATACTAGCATATAATGATAAAATGGAAATGGAAAGACACGATGGAAGCAAATATTATATGCAATCACATCATTTGAAAAGAATTACATATTTTTCCGCAATAACGACTGTTTCACAAGTTTCCTTTAATTTTAAGTGACCTTCACGCTCCACGCTCCACGCTCGTCGCTCGCGTTGAGATAAAGATAAAAGCAACGATAATGATACGTGATTTTCGGCAATCAAGCCATAAAAATGATATATATACGCACGGATTAAATATATCATACAAGAAATAATGAAACAACACCATTTTAAATATCAAATAATTGTGAATTAAATTGAAGCAATGTTTCTGAATTTGTTGTTTACAAACTTATTTCACTTAAATAACTATTTAGTGTTCTTAGTATTCCCTGTGTATGACGCCAGGTTACTTAAAAAACGGAACATAATAAACGAACACATGGGGTATACAAGTATAAATTTTGACATTTGATGAAGAAATTTCGCAGGGCATTTCAAATCTATATAACGCGAGCAATCACAATGCGAATTGCACAACATTGTCTACCTCACGAAAAATACATCTAGTCTACAGGCTCTCTTTCACTCGCACTAGCGAAGCGAATCTATTACGAGCGGACTGCGTTGGCCATTGATTGGCATTTAGAGCTTTTAACGCGCCAACCGTTTGGCGAGCGTTCATTAACGAGTTGAACCGAGAACCAAGGGATGGGTAATTTTCCATCCGTCTCGACACTGTTGAGATAAAGATTCAAAATTCAAAAAAATCCCTAAATCGTCTCACGTAATTAATGAACTATTTAAACACAGAGCGCCATCCTTACAGTACTGGGTACGCTTTCGAAGGCTTCAAATATACGCGAGATAAATTTTTATGATTCTTTGGTATGAACGTTCCACAGTTTTCGTCGAAGACTTATCCTTAAAATTTCTATAAAATTTCAATCAAGCCCGCTCCGGCTCCGGAGCTCCAATTATTATAGGTATCGAGGCTAACACCGAACAGCGGACACAATTGTAAAACAAGAGATTCAAGTGTATAACAAGGAATTCAGCACAAATATGATTTCTCGTCACCAAGCGATCACTGTCATTCGGGGTGCAAGGTCATAAAATCTTAAGTTTTTTGTATGCCTAGCTTATCGCTAAACAATGCTCTTCAAGGCTATATTGTAATGGGAGCCGTAAATAGCTTCTATGAAAGATGAACGAGTGAACAAGAAAAGTGTCGTTTTGTATGTTTGTATTTTTTCGAACAAAAATTGTGATTGAGAAAACGCTAATCTTGAGTGCATGAGAAATAAATTAAAGTACTAGTACTAAAGGTAATTAACTAATAGCAATAACTAACTAAAAATTAGTAATAACTTTTCACTTACATAATATTTAACAAGGAACTTAAAATACGTAGTCTGTGGTTATGAATGTCAATGTAGTAATCAATTATATCTTTACGGAACAGACGAGATAGGATTATAGTAAACAGATAGGTTTTCGTATAAAAAACGCGATTTATATTTTTAAGTCTTCTTATAATATGAAGATGATGCAATAGTTATGTAATATCATAATTTACTATCGTAATATATTTCTCAAGCACCGAATACGAAAATAGTTTTTTTTTTAAATGAAAATTGAGGCAAATGAGCAAGCGGGTCCTGAAGTAAATGATCAACGTCACTGCACACCCCACATCCAAGTAATCATTTATATATAAATAAATATCCACAAAGAACAACCAAAAATTATGATCATTCTGGTAATAAAAGCCATACACGTAAAAACTTATAATGGATAAGTAGCGTAAAAAAAGCAATGACCATGATAAAAAAAGCAATAGGTAAGGAGTAATTTCATAGCTTATAACTTATACTTTTATTTCAAAAGTTTATAAACGGAACGATACATGATTTTATAGTTATTAACATAAAAACTCATGAGTTGAGCCGTGATAGTTCAGTGCCCGGGCGCTTGCTTTTAATTTAGTATACTAGAGCAACCAGAATTCAAATCCCGGTGCCGGCACAAATGGAATTCTTATTTTTAATCACTGACTTACCACGTTCTTCGTGGTGAAAGAAAACATCGCGAGGAAGCCTTTATAATTATGTTTTCAAATTAATAACAATAATAAATAATTCGAGCATATTAATAATGTGAAGTCCGCCAATCCGCAGGTGAGTTGCGTGATCAATAGTGGGACAAATAATAGGATGTTACTTTTACTTTTAACATTAAAACTATGAAAGAATTAAAGAAAATGAAACTATTAAAGAGAATTCTAATAAAGTCATCAAGTGCCAACAAACCGTACTTAATATATCAGTATTTGAAATGAAGAGTGTAACGCTAATCAAACCTGGTTTTCGACGGTAATGTTGCTGTTGTAGCAAATTAGGCACAAGGCCGAATTTCCACAGGTCATAGACAAAATTTTGTCGCAACTCCTATTGTCTTAGCGAACTGAACTGGCAACTAGCACTGGCTTGCCTACTCCGGCTTCATACACGTAGACAAGTTGAGGTTATCTTTTTTTTCCCGCCACAGTTACGAGTACGTAATTATCAAATACTTAAGTGCATTAAAAAATTCCTGTATTATATAATGCCCGTCAAAACATGACGTATTTAATGACTGTCATGCAAGTCAGTTTATCCGATGTAAATTCCCAATTTATCCATAAATTGTTATATCCAATTATAACTTATACATTTAATGTAATAAAATAGCCGCGAGGATAATGTAGTCGTTTAAATAATGAGAAGGAAAAATAGTTTCAAAGTTTACATACAAAAACATAATTTTAGTCCTGGTAAAAGTAATTAGCGGATTTACGGTTTCTGAAACACTGATCACTGTAGAAGTCAACTAATCGGCTGACAAATGTTATTTAAGGATGGCTCTCTGAATAGATCAGAATAATATCCTTAATGATCAGAATAATCTATTCAAAAAATTTAACCATCCCTTAGGCAACATAAATAACATTTGAAAAGCCATTTGACAGCTGATTAGTTGACTTCTGCGATGATGATAAAAAAAAAATAAAGCCTGTCTGGTGATCAAAGACGGTGTACAGCTAAGAAGTGTAGGGATCTTAGAAATAAATTAATATGTAGTGTTCCTACGATATATTATTATTATTAGTAGTAGTATAAACAATCGGTGTCAATGGTTAAAACATTAGCAATATCCTAACTCTCAAAGGTTTTGTTTTTACCAGACAGAGTATGATGCACAAGAAAGTTTCTTTTACCAATTTACTGTGTACAATCAATAGTGTTCTAATAAGATGACGCATGTCCATTCTGCGCTACGTTTAAAAATTGTTCCGTATTACCTTATATGACACTAGCTGTTAACCGCGGCTTCGCCCGCGCGGTCAAAGGATATTAACAATGAGTTTTTTATTTTACACCAGAATATCACGCGGATGGCTGAATTTTTTCCTACTTATCTAGAGACAGCAGTCTATATAGACTATCTATATAGACTGCTGTCTCTTTCATCTGCCACATATATAGAATTGCAGTCTAAATTTGAGTGCTCAGTTTTTTTGTTGCCATAACTACAGTGTGTACAACCAATTACTTTTCAAGGCAACGTTTATTGTCTTTATAATTTTTAAACAAGATTAAATGTAGTTCACCTCATCCACGTATCTGCAATGTCGGACGGCTTCGTACCTCTCGTCCTCGGTCATCACTGTCCGCCCTTTTCGACTGTGCGTTAGTTTGTCGTTGCATACTGCAAAAAAAAGTAATATTTAATGTCAGTTTTCCATATGGCCTTAAGTTTACCGTTCAATATTCATGCATGTATATAAAAAAGGAACTCAATTGTAACATGACAGATAAGAGACGTCATTATATCGAACAGTGTGAACTTAATTTTTATTTTATTAGTTGGACACGAGATATCATTGAATTAAGCATTGGACCTTTGTTTATCGCCTTGTTAATTATATCAACGGACGGGCAAAAATTATTTATTTAAATTCAAGATACGCCTAAATTACATGTGTAATAATTATAAGGTTATTTAGCCTTTTGGAAATGGCTAAATATAACACTCGTTATTGACGTTAAATATACAGTACCTGGAGGACCGAGCTTTGCTCGGTTTTTTTGGTAAATCATGTATTTTGGAAAAAAAAAAAAAAAAAAAAAAAGAATAAAGAAAGCAATATGAGGTATAGAAAAAAAGTCAAAAAAATAAGTGTGTAAATGATCGTGATACGAACCGCGGCCGTCTGTTTTGGGGCCCCCCGATTACCGACCGAGCTATTATAACATTTTTTTTGCGGCGAAATTTACCGTCATATTCGAATGATATTTGTGTTCCCTGAAAACAGGGATAAAAAGACATTTTCTAAAAATGAAACCTAGCTAGATCGATATTTCGCCCCCGAATCTACGCATATACTAAATTTCATGAAAATCGCTAATATATATATATATATATATATAGAGTCTATAGTGTTTTGTCTCTTTTAAATTCATTCATTCCATTCATATGCTTTGTGACCTTTACAAATGAACTTTACGTTAGAGTTTTATACTTAAGGTTGTTCTAAAATTCTTTGTTTTGGAAATTTTAATAACTCTGTAAATATTGATGTTTAAAGAATCGAAATGTTTAATATACAATTTAAAAAAGTTATCCTCTATATGTGCGTTCTTTTATTGTCGCGATTGTAAAGACACGCTGTATATATTTAGAAGAATTGCTCGTTTAAAGGATAAGATATAGCAGACTTAACTTTTGTGTCACTTATTGACATTCAACCAGTTTCAATTCAAAGTCAAATAACAGTAGGTAACCAGATACAAAGAAAAATCAACTCTTAAGGTTATTGACGCATTAAAAAATAGGACAAATCTCTCGTATAACACAAAAGCTACGGTAACTTTGTTACCACGGAGCGCTACAGGGGAATAGTGTCATTAGATTTGTTTGGCCACTTGTTTTACGTTGCAATCTAAAAAACATTCCCTAAACGGTCGAAATAATAAATGACTGCCGTAAATCGCAGTGCTCTTAATCGCGACCGCTTTTTAATGATCAATCAACGAGTGACCTTGATACCGTACGGTGGTCTTGGCCCAATGAGACATATTAGCCGGCCACGCGGGACATTCGCCGCCATCCGAAGTCATCAGAGCGGCCTCGATTAAGCAACGCGCTATCGGTGGCCGAGCGAAGCTAATGGCAACCGATGTGATAACGTTCGACTGTTGCACGCAATTAGCGCCACGAGATACGCATAGGTGTAGCTAGATAAACCTCGTATGACAAATTCCGACCAATCGCGGCGTTGCATTTTATGCATTCCTTTTTTAAAACAAACAAGCCATGGCGCGTTATATTTTTTTGTTGTAAGTTGCGGATATTATATATTTTAGATTCTATGCTTGCGTAATTATGTTTACACATGACGCGACACATGAGCAATGTTTGTTGTTTAGGAAGGTCCCGTGTCGAAAATTGGTGCGATGCGAAAATGTACCATACAATCAATACTGCAGGAAAGCCGCATCGGGCACAATCGATATCCTCCGCCTTGTGCCAGACTCTCCAGTCTCCATCTTATCCGATCACGTAACCTGCAAGGAGTTTTGTCTCTCTGCGCTGTAGTTTTATGTTCAAATCAGATGCACCTGGCCACGAGTTTCTACGTAAGATGTCGCTGCAATTTCTTTGAATTGAATGTCATATTTTTGTACAAATTACCTCATTCCCTTTTTTAATGGCAAAAATTTTTTAAATGAGGCAAAGGGGTCAGTCACCATAGTAGGTGAGCAACGTCACCCACGGCTGTTCGTCACACCCCGAGCAGTTAGAAATGTTGCCGTCGTCGCAGTCATGCGTCAAAAAGGGTGATAGAGATGATATTTGGCGGTTCGACCAGTTGGATGGCGAAACTCAGTAGCAGGTATTAATCGGTACAATACTTCATGGAACCTCCTTGATAAATACGCAGGGCTATTCAAAGAGACGCAACATATTTTTCCAGTAGTTGAGGCGGTTAGAAAGGAACTCCAGGGTCGTCCACGATTCGAGCAGCTCAAGTTTCTTTTTATTTAAAAAAAAAAAGAAACTCAGCGGACAAAAATTTACATGTTTTAAATAATATATAAATTCAATTACATCAGTAAAAAACACCAGTAGCGTCAAAATAGATGTTTTGCGAAGGAAATTAAAATGTTATTCGTGTAAATGTAATCCGACACAAACTTACACTTACTAATATCCATATAGAAGATAAAAATAACTCGCCCAGAAGGTCGATGTACTCTCTCCGATATTTTGCCATTTACTATTAGTTTGACAGTATAAACATAATATGACCTAGTAACCAAATTAAGTCATGTCGTCTAAAGCAACTCGAGCACCTAGAGACGCATAAAGCTTTATACACATGTATAATCGTTATACACATGCGTATAAATTTATTGAAAACCTTTAGTCAATCGTCGGTGATTTATCTCCCTAGCGGTGCAAATGGTCTCAAACTTTTCATTTGGACACAACGCTCATATCATGTTTTCTTTTCATAGTAGACTAGCGACCCGCCCCGGCGTTGCATGGGTGCAATGCATTATACATATAAACTTTCCTCTTCAATCACTCTATCTAGTAAAAAAAAAACCGCATCAAGATCCGTTGCGTAGTTTTAAAGATCTAAGCATACATAGCGACAGACATACGGCGGGACGACTTTTTTGGCAACTTGGCGACGTAGGCAGTATTGAGATTTGGTGTTACGTGAGAACACGAATTGCAAGGGCGACCACGGCTGCCTAATTAAACAGATAAAACGTTAAAATATTACTTCGATTTCAAAGCGACTGCAAATCTTAGGCAGCAGCTGAAGCTAATACGTGACAACAGAACCATAGTTATGCATGATGATTTAGGTTTTGGTGATTCTTAAATACACAAACGCGTACATGATAAATGTCTAGCATTAATAAAATCAAATATATATTTATTCACATAGACGCTTGCGCGTTCTTATGAAATGTCAAAATATTTACATAAAAATTAATACGTTCGTAAGTTACCACCGGTTCGGAAAGCAGTTTCTGTTGAGAAGAAACCGGCAAGAAACTCAACAGTTGCTCTTTTTAAATCGATTAGTTTACAATATAATAGAACAAGTATGTCATTTTAGCCCACGTGAGTATCACACAGTATTAACCCCACACCTTGGCGTCGTCAAGGTATTCCGCAATGGTATAATATGCCTTAGCCATAAGTTCACTTTTAATTTTGCGTTTAAATTCATCTAGAGGCAGGCTTAATACCGACTGTGGGATTTTATTATACATGCGCACACTTTGCCCCATGAACGATCTATTTACTTTTTGTAGATGAAACAATGGCGTAATTAATTTGTCCTTATTTCTAGTATTTAATTTATGTCTGTCACTATTCTTTAGATAACAATTAAGATAATGTCTAACATACAAAATATTACAATAAATATATCGGGCGCAACAGTGAGTATATCAATCTCTTTAAAAATATCTCTGAGTGTGTTCCGGGCTCCGATGTTATAGATTTCTCGGACAGCTCTTTTTTGAAGAATAAATTTAGAATTTATATCAGATGCACTACCCCACATCAAAATGCCGTACGATAAGATGCTGCGAAAATAACTAAAGTAAACAAGTCTGGCAGTGTCGATTTCTGTTAGCTGTCTAACCTTCCTAATCGCAAAAACAGCGGAGATTAGCCTACTCGCAAGAGATGATAGATGGGGACTCCACTGAAGCTTTGAATCTACTGTAATCCCCAAAAAAAACTGCAGACTCAACAGGATTGAGGGACACGTTATTTAATAATATACTAAAACTTTGCCTTCTTAGACTAGGAAGAGTAAAAAGAATACATTTAATTTTTTTGGCATTTAATACCATATTATTTATGATGAACCAGTGAAGGATATGCGAAAGTGCACCATTTACGTCGTCATAATTTGATAAATTTCGGTCAACCTTAAAGATGAGTGATGTATCGTCAGCAAACAACATCACAAAACTCACTGGCATAAGAGGGGAGATCATTTATATAGACTAGAAATAAAAATGGGCCCAAGTTTGATCCTTGTGGGACACCCTTTTTTATGGGGGACCCTGCGGAATTAACATCATTTATAGATACTTTTGAATTCTATTACTAAGGTAAGAGGTGATGAGATTGATGAATAGACGAATATAGTGACAACACAGGTTGTATTAATGAAGCCGAGCCAATTATCGTTTGAACAATCACGCGGTCGATTCATCACTTTGCAAAACAACAGACACAACATTTTACTGATAGCAATGAGCCGATCACAGATCGTTGCGTAAATTTTCAGGGAGCGACAGAGGGCAAATAAATGAGTCAGTATTGATATTGTGCTCGTCCCGGAATTTTCCTTAGTATGATATCACTTTGCTATTTTGTTTACCGTCCTGAAAGCTTCTGCACTGACTGGAGACGCACAATCACAGAAACTATATAAGATAAGCTTTACTAGATATTTATGTAATACTTATATCTTTTTTTGTGTTCCTGCTTCTTTTATTTAATTTTTCCTTTCTTTAATTTACTCATGATTTTTTTTGGGCTTGATGAGTCATTAACTCATTTACAAATTGTTTACGACAGTGCTCTTCGATAAAGATAGGGATATAATGTATAAATACTTTTGCCTATTTTGTATGTTTTATTGCTTTTAATCCCGATTTTATACGGTAATACTAATAGTAACCAAATTAAAAGGCGATGTTAAAGTCTTTCGGGTGAGCGCGTTTTATTAAAACAGAAGCTTTCGGCCTCATCTCGTACAATCACTTTTTTTAGACTTTTCGACGATTGGTCTTTGCACTGTCATCCCTAAAATTATATAAATCTCGATTGGGCACAGAGCTCGCGGAGAAGTCAATTTTTCACCGGGCTTGGTAAACTTATAAGCAGAGTCACAGAGTAGCGTGATCATACTACGAACCGCGCGGGGAACCAGAACCCTACTGAAACTCTACTGAAGCACAAAGTAAGCAGAGTCACAGGGTAGGGTGATCACACAAGGAACTGCGATCACACAATTCACTGCGATCACATAGTGATCTGCGATCACGCAATGAACTGCGATCACGCAATAAACTGTGATCACACAATGAACTGCGATCACACAATTAATTGCGATCACACTATTACCTGCGCTCACACAATTAACTGCGATCACATAATTAACTGCGATCACACATTTAACTGCGATCACACAGTGAGCTGCGATCGCACAATTGTACCAGCTCCATCCAAGCACAAAGCGTACGCGCTCACCTCCGACTATTAGGTACACGTTGGGGAACACGTTCTTCGCCTGCTGCAGCTGCCGCGCGTGGCCCTGGTGGAACATGTCGTAGATGCCGTCCGAGTAGACACGCACGCGGCGCGGCGCGGTGCCCATCAGCGCGGCCGCCCGAGGGATGCGCCCGTACGCGCACCTCTCGCGCTCGGCCACCGCCATCGGGTCCGTGCTAAACGGCGCCGCGAGCCGCAGCGACTGTTGACGGGGGAAGTGTTAAAATTAAAAAAAAAGAAAAAAAACGCGTTCGTGTACGTTACGCACGCACAAATAATTAAACATTTCATCCAGAGTGCCAGTACAAGGCTTGTGACAAAGAAGATATTAAATGCAATTGCTGTTTAAATATACAACTCGGTATAAAAATTATAATTTCAAAAAGTTGTTATCGGTCGCCATGGTAAGACCATGAGGTTGGTGACGCTTTTAGGTGTCGCGCGTCGTAAAAAATTCACTCTCATATTTTTTCTCAAACGCTCCAAAAGAAGTGTAACTTCAAAAACTCACTACTTTGACAGCTCGTCGGTGAGGCAGTGTTTATTATGATACGACAACGCTTCTCATCTTTTATTTATCTGTAAAAATCTATTGATTAAGACTCAAAATTCGTATACAGAATAAATAACTCTGCATACTGTAGTATTCAATTTTATTGGAAAATATATGTGCAAGAGAGAGTGGCGTACGGGCGAAGTGTGGTAAAGACAACTTGCAACTCCAGGGTTATTGCTGATGTGATGATAAAAAAAATCGCAGATGTTTTTAATCGCCGGTGGTACGATAAAACGCAAGAGTTGAGCCAGTAAGCCAATATTACTGATAGCCAAAGAAATTACAGATGCTTGCGGTAATATCAGTTAATGAAACAAATAGAGATATTAAATTAATAATCAATGTTTCGCGATTATTTTCATGGACCCGAGGTGGAGGTAGTAAAGACTTTCTAAAAAGCCATTTGATCTCAAAGTTGACGTAATTCCATGTGGCACAAAGCGGACCCCAGTGTGTGCTGAGGCTATCTGAGGGGGTGAATGAAACTAAATAATATTGAGGCCGCAAAATACAAATCGGTGGGCCGTCACAAGTATAACAGCATGTTGAAAAAAAGTTTCGGCCACACTGTCCCTTAATTGCACTCATTCAAGGAGAATTTCATTAAACAACTTAAGTTATTATTATTTTCCTACATATTTCTAAAAATTTAGATGAAGAATTTCTGGGGGGCATTGGGTAATCAATTTTTCTTAAAGTGGGCGGCACACCAAAAAAGTTTGAGAAACACTGTAATAAGTGGTACCTCAGTCTGATAATGTTTTCAGCAAATTCGGAACCGTTATCTTCGAGTGGATTTTCACCTACTTTCGAATAGATTTGGGTATTTGGCAAATGTATTTGTGGGAAAGTTTTTAGAGCTTCTTCAATGTTATATTTACAAAGAGAGATTTTATAACTGCATAAGGTTAATTCATTTATACCAATATATATACTATATACTTCTATACAATATTCACCATAAGGTTTGCACTAAACTTTTTAAAGAAAAATCATTGATGGCATTTTGGGTTTAAAAAACATCAAAAGACGCTAGCACATACACTACCAACTACGCCACTCGGGTCGTCAAATATAATTCATAACGGTATCTAATTTAAAAAAGTGTAGATTATTCCACTTGTATTAATTTTTATATTACATGGCGAGGATGATTACCGGATTTTTACTAGGCTAAAATTGTAAAAGTTAGTATATACAGCGTGTCGTTACCATCGCGACAATAAATGAACACACATATAGGGGATAACTTTTTAAAGTTGTATTAAACATTTAAATTCTTTAAACATCAATATTTACAGAGTTATCAAATTTTCCAAAACAAAGAATTTTAGAACATCCTTACCTATAAAAGCGTAACGTAAAGTTCATTTGTAAAGGTCACAAAGCATATGAATGGGTTGAATGAATTTAAAAGAGACAAAACATACTGTTAGAAGGAGAGGCTTGTAATGCGACGCTGTGGCGCGAGTTGTATAGGATGTTACAAATTCTGTTTCTTTTTTTACTTAATTAGTTTGTTTGAAAAAAATTTTTTTTTAATTATGGATTTTATTTAACGTTAATATTTTTTTATGATTATTGGCAAGTAGCGTTAGACGTGTGTTCATTTATTTTCGCGATGGTAACGACACGCTGTATACATAAACTAACAATTTTAAAGTGCAAGCAAAATTTTAAGTGAAACTAGGTCACGAGTTAGGCATTGATAGATTAGTCTCTTCATCTTAAACTCGACAGTGCAATAAAAAAGTCAAAGCGGATTTCCCGCGCGCGTTAGCACAATTTTTATTTTTAAATATGAGTCGACGAGGCAAAGGTTGTAGAGCGATTGTACGCGCGCCGATAATGAAGTGGCGTGATGTGACATCACTGGCCGGTTATTTAGTATATACACATATATATTATAAATTATAATGTGGAGCGTTGCGTGACTGGTGTCGACCCTTATCGTTTAATTGCCGGCGCTTGCAATGATGTGACTGCGTTATTATTAGAAAACGCATAGCGTGCATAGCGATCACGTGTTTGACGGTTCTCAAAAAAAAAAAAAACAAGACGAATATTTTGAAGCAACGACGAAATTATCCGATGTTTAAATAACGTCGAACGTTCTCGGAGTAATTTATACTAAATACTTCGCAAAACATTAATATCTTTATTCTATTGTCATTTATTTATGGAAGTTTTCCCAATGTTGTCAGAAAAAATAAAAGGCGCAGGGAATCATTAAAGAAATATTATTATCCATAAAAAAAGAAAACCGATTCTCATGATTAGTTAAGCCTTGGTATTTTTAAAAGCTTGGTTACCAAAAATATTACAATAAGTTTGATGATTACGTGATAATATTCCGTAAAAGGGCAGAATCATGGTTCAAAAGTGGTGATATAATAAATAACAAACCGATAAATGATAAACCGAAAATGTATCTTAGAATATAGTATTCGCCGGTTTATAACCGAAATTATAAACAATAATATGTAAGATCGACAAAATTGACAATGTTTGATATACGCTAACGTGGACACAAAACCAAGGTATCCGTTTCAGGAAATGCATTTTTTATTAAAAACAATAGCATTTTCGATATAAACTTTATAAAGCACGGAACGTACGTTGTTTCACGTTTGCAATGCGGACTTCGCAAAATTCACGTATTTCACATACCTATTGTAAGTATGTTTATGAAGATGACGTTAACATTTAGTGAAATCTCATTTTAATTCTTAAACTGTTGTAATTGTTACAGACATTCTTCTGAAGAATGGTCTGGATAAATTTTGTACAATGGAATGTGTTCTCATCAGATTATCTTTCTGAGAGTTTGGTTTCTATTAGTAAGAAAGACAGTAGTCTCTATTTTCAGTAATAAATTCAAAATTATGAAACAACTAAATATTACTATCTACTACATACTACAATCTACAAGCTAAATACAGTAGTTCCTTAAATCTCAAGGCATGAATTAAGAAAGTATTATAAATGTATATTTCTTTATTTACATTTACGAAAAACTGCTGATATGGAACGAATGGGGTGGCACATCCAGAGAAGTAACACGCAGAATACCGGCGTAAAGTAAACGTAAAACTAGTATTATAAGTAAATGTATAATTTTGCATTTTGCTTGACAACTTGGTTGCAAATTGAAGTAACTGCAACAAATGGGTATTGATAATCGTCCATGGGCGACGCAAAGCATTTAAAATTTGATAAACCACTTGCTCGTTTGCCACCCTTTTTCAATAAAATAACAAATTATGACATAATTCAATAAATAAAACTCAATAAAAGAATTGATTCAGCTTTCCTTAGAACAAATAACCGATACGTTACCGAAGCACGTAAAAATGAAGAACAATGCAATTAAAGCCCTTAGGGTCACGAGTTGTGAGAAGTGTAATTTTATTAAGTGAATAGAGCAAAACAATTGAAGATTCTTTTTGTAACTCGGATGTGCTCAAAACCTGGAGTAAGCAAAGAAACTGATGCGTTTAATCTAGACTGATATCTAATAAGTAAATAATTCTGCTTAGCAGCCGGTTACGTTTACTCTTATAATTTATAATAATAATCTTACCTCACAGACAGAAAATTTCTCTCCCTCCGGCAAAATTATGATGGAATAATTAATTCATTAAGAAATAATTTACCTAAGTCGCTTAACACGAACCGTTTCAATAGCATTTTGCACATATTAAAAGTATTATACGTAACGTTTAGAATTAAAAGTGAACGTTACACTTGAGAGAGAAAAATAAATTTAAATATACAATTAATAAAAGGTATTAACAATTACATATTTTACAATTTAACACAAGATTGTTTAGTTTTTTAGAACTATGATTAACATTTATGACGATTCTTTACGTGGTGATTTTTTTGTATTCTTTACAATGCCAAATACATAAATATTATAACATTGTTGTAAACAAAATGTACTATCCATTATATTCATCTCGTACGTTCTAAAATTTTGCTTTGTTAAGGTAACACACTAGTTAGTTTCAAATATTTGCCACATTTTGACAATGAATATATTTCGTGTTTCAGCAATTTTCATTTTCTGACATTTTTTCAACAGTTTCTGAACGACTTATTATTATAGAACAGACACAGCAAGATCTTGCTATGCATTTGAAAGGCATTTACTTTGCCTTATTATGAAATTCTATCAGGCCGAATATAATACACCGATTGAATGACTGACCTTTGTGTTTGAGTAAACTCTGGACTTTTGTGAAGTTTAAAACATTTGTAGTACGATTGAAAAGCACTTCATGTATTCATGTATATTATGCCACAGTAACGTTTGAGCACAGTTATACTATATATATGCACGCACGGGTGCATTGTTTTATACATCACTATCTAGTAAAAAAAACCCGCATGAAGATCCGTTGCGTAGTATTAAAGATCTAAGCATACATAGGGACAGACAGACAGCGCGACGATTTTATTTTATACTATGTAGTGATTTTATCGATAAGTATCAATTATGTGGTACGCTGTGGTGGAGGCCTAGGTTCAGCAGTGGATTCAAAACAACTAAAATGATGATAATGATGTTGAAATTGTACCAAACATTGCTACAAAAATACAAGAATAAACTGTATAATTTTTGAAGATAGTACTGCTCCAATGTGTAAGAAAAAAACATCTGATGTTTGACCCGTTTCCATATCAACTTTAAATACAAACTTCTATAAACTGTACCTTCCGCTTCCTACTTGTTCATAAATCTTATCGCGCAATAATATCGGATATTAGAAAAGGCATTTCAAGCGAAACAATCGCAAGGAAATAAGAAACTCGCGTCATTATTTGCCATTGTTTTGCGTCTCCTGTTTATTTATTTTCTATAAATGAACGCTAGATCTCAGTGACCAGAGAATTCAAAATATAAAGTAAGATACTAAAAATGATATCAAAAAAAACACGATCGAATGACGAACATTTTTCTCGCGTTGCAATGAGAAGTATTTTGATATAATTGAGAAAAATGTTAAACGACAATCGATTATGCAGCACAGAAAGGCATAGACAGAAGGCGACAGATTCATTTTCACATGTATTCTCAGTTAATCACAGCCTAACATCATAGCTTAGTAAAAACAAACAGGAATTAGATATAGAGCCACGAGAGCTTTCGGCAATCGTACCGTTAAACGCGGTTTATCGAACGTCACCCTGGGCGTAATTGCCGGCATCGGCGTATCAGCGATTGCGGGTCAAGAACCCTAATCGCCAAATCGAATCCGGTTCACTTGAACCAAAAACGACAACTTGTTGAACAATGACATTTGCTTTTATGAATCCCTCATTTAACACTATTATTGGACTCTTCATCTCGCTACGTCCAGCATCGCTATGATATTAGGTAGAATTTTAAAATATTATAAATATATCTTATACCTATCAACCAGAGATAATGCGTTTAACACACTAGACTTAACCAGATGGAATGGTAGTCGATCACTAGCCAGTTAGTAAAAAAATATGAACGCCTGTGTAAATCTTAAAATGATTGAGGAAAGAAGGTCAAGGGACGAAATATTGAGTCTGGACATACCTTTGCCATGTTCAAAAACTATATATTTGACGTTTAAAATAATTAAGGATCTAGAACTCGTATTTATTTTTATTAGGTTTATTAAAGCTGCCATTTCTTCCATATTCAGTAATAAACATTTCTTCCAAACAACAGATTTTTATTTTAATGGCATCATCTATATCAATATGCGTCTGACATAATTTATAAGCAAAAAAAATACGGTCATTAATTTTATAGAAGGCGCATTCATGCGGTTAGGAGTAAATACGAACTTTACTTGAGTAAACATCCAATTGAGATCTAAATAAAAGTAATATATGAGTATTACGGACAACGTTGTTTATGACAATTTGCAAATCGTCAGATGATGCCTTAAAAATCCAAACAGTCGTGTTAATGATAAAAACATTACGGTCAGCTTTGTTGACGTGATTAAGACGGTTTTTGACTGTTGTAGTACATTTTTAGTCCTCCTATTCTTTAACATCACATTTGTAAGAACGCTTTTAAACATATTTAAGTTACGTTTCATACGATGAACAAATCTAAGAAACGAAAATGTATAAATTTAAAAACCAGAATGCGATTCCCGGTGGACAGTCTGTGTCCGGAATATTATCAAGCGGTTCGCGCAAGGTCGTTGGGTTCTTAAAGTGACTTTTTATCACGCTATGGCCTGATGTCTTTAATGATTTATTCCTTGACGATCAGAACTGATCATGATAAGAACATCAGGACAAAAAAGATAATTAACAAACTTCTTTAGAGTTAAATTTAAAACTTTACATTTACAACAAAGCCAAATCAAATACTTTTTCTATTTTGTCAAATGTCCATCTATGTTAAGTTAAATAAAAGCAACACGGCAGACTTTTTTCTGATTTGCATATTGAGATTTTTGTTTTAACATTATTTAATACTTCTTTTGGATTACAGAACGATGTGGCAATAAAAGAAAACATTCAATAAGTTATTCAGCATGCATCAGCACTGCACCTTATAAGCCCAACTGACGCCCGGTTTCTGATACACTGATCATGGTAGACTAATCAGCTGTCAAATGGCTTTTCAAATGTCTTTGGAGTTGGCAGGATGGTTAAACTCTTTGAATTGATCATTCTGATTATCATTAAAAAGATCATTCTGGTTAATTCGGAGAGTTCAACCATTATTTTGTGAACTAAAACGATATTTGAAAAGCCATTTGACAGCTGATTAGTTGACATCTAAGATGATCTGTGTTTCAGAAACCGGGCGTGAATGAGCTAATAGGAATCGGACCTCACTACAACTATTCTACTGACAATACCGTGGAGTGTGTGCAGTGTGCAAAGTTAACCACATTGAAAATTAAACTTTCTATGCGGCTATAGCAAACACCCAATGTGGGCTATGGACACTTTCACTGTAGATTTGTGACGAAAATGGAAATTTCACTATATTCCAAACTAATAGAATAATCGAAATAATATCAGCGGGAATGGCAGGCTAGAACAAACTGGTTATAAAGGCATTTACAGAGAAAACATTATAGATGGAATTTAAATGGAGTTACAGATTCTATTTAAGAGCTTGATAAAAAGATCCTATCGAGGTACCGAAGATCTTATAAAGTTAGGGGCCCAAAGAATCGCAATAGATATTCCAAAGTCAAATGAAGGAGTACAACTTACAGACACTTCGACCGGCTCGGGTTTCGTGTATCCATTTTTCCTATATCCGTTCAAGCTCGTCTCCAGCGTCTCTAATTTTCCATTATAATGGCATTTAGTGAGCGTAGTTGTCATCGTCACAGCCGACATTGTGAAATAATAATAGTTCTGTACTTCCCAATTAGAGTTACGGTCACAGTTCCAAAGTATTACCGGCACGATACCGTGGATGTCTGTTGCATTGTTAACCGAAAACGTTGAAATGTTCAATTTGCAGTTAACCACGATGAATCGGAAGCGCGCGATATTAATCCGACGTACGAATTCCTCTCCGTGATAACGTTGCTCTCGTTATGTAAAAGCATCGGATGCAGGCAAAACAGCGGAGGGCGCGCGTCCGTTCGCCGCGAGTGATGTGGCGTGACTAACAATATCTGAGCGGTGTGCAGACGAAGTGGACGGGCGGGGAATGTGTGAGCTGGGTGGGCCGATGGGGGGAAGGGGAAGGGTTGCGGGGGAGGTCGACGCTGGTGGCGCGACGCCGACGTGGAGGCTCGTCGGACACGCGACGCGCCACGGGACGCCCCGCAGTCACAACTTCACAAGAGGGAGATCGGTGGCCCCAGCTCGACGGCGGCACTTTGCTCACTCACCGCACAAACATATCCGCTATCCATAACCCTTCAATTGTTATTACATCGATTTCTTGCGCTTGCTTATAACATTATCCATTGGCATCCATAAGTAAATTACAATTGTAAACAAACTGAGACCTGACAGGATCGATTCAATCTGAAATAGTAATGGAATGTCTGCTCGATTGCATATTACTCTTCAAATAGTTGCAGATTTTTTTTATATTTGTTACATTTTCAAGATTATACAGACGAATATATAGGAACGAAATGCTTTTTAAGAAATACATTACAGTTTTATGTGATCGATGTGTCTTTTGATTTCACTACAGTGTAAGTTATAGTCAGTAAGAGGGAACCGTACATTTAGTTAATTTATGTCACACATTACACCAAATAAAGTTTTCATTTTGATCGTTTACAAGACCTGATGTCCAAGGTCTGATGTCTGATAAACACAATGCCAATTGAATAAACAATCACAACAGTTGTAAATACAATAACAATGCTACCAATGGCCAAGTATTGGCTGCAGCGGTCACAATCAATGCTAAGATATGGAACGTTGCGCCAAGCCATACGTTTTTTAGCAAACAAACAAATCAACGAGTATAATTGCAAAATAATAGTAACACAGCGGTGATAGTACTAAAGAAAACTAATAAAATAATTTCCAAGGCACAAAAAAGCACCAGAGGCTGAATTTTAATTGGGAAATGTTAATGAGTGATTCAGCTATTGCGTAAGAACGCATGCTTTAGTTACCTATAAACATGGATGATGCAATAACATATGCCACATAGGAGGGGTAAACACAACATGTGAATCTTGTTTTAATGCTATTGAATAGGTTTTTCACAGCCGCCCGAAGTCATCCCTCCTTGGGAATAATTAGATCCCAGATACGGAAACATTATCTGTGGGCTATACAAATACTTGTGTGGGAATCGAACCAAGACTCACGGCGCTGTAGCCAAAAGCTGTGCCACCAATATATTGAATCTAACCTGAAAATAACAGGCGGAAGACAAATTTTTCTATTAAGCTATATCATTTGCATCTCGCTAAACCTGAATCATCTGCGTACATAGGAAGACGAAAAGCTGACGTAAATTCAAATGCAAAACGACGACCGAAACGCTGGTCGCCATTTTTAGGAACGTGATGAAAATATGAGTCACATTAACTGCAAAACATTTGTTTCATAATGCCATTAATAGAGGCGCAGATAAATTAACGATAAGATAATTTCACAACTAATTTATCGGAATGAACGTGAAATAAGAAAGAAAAATATAATTTCCTTATTTTTGTGTTAAAAATTTGTATTTCGTAAACTTTAAATAGAATATTTTGTAAACCATAAAACGTTAGACCTGCTTAAGAATTAGTTTTCCTTGGTGATTACTCTAATTCCTTTAATTGTACTAAATAACATAATTACTACACGCTCAGTGTTGATAATGTTTGTCTTGTACGAAACATTGTTGGCGGTAAATTATTTTCATTTCTTATTTACCATAGTGACAAGATTTTTTGCTTTTCTATTTTATTGTGTGCATTTTTTCTATGTGGTGACACGATCAGGTCAATGTCATCAATTATATGTTACATTTGTGTCAATGTCATAAATATGTGTAACGCTCCGATTACGTAATAAACTAATGATGTCAATTCATCATCATCAGTCGATTCAACCGAATTAAGTGTTATTTAAACGTGTTATTTTAGATTAAATAAAATACACTTCATTAATTAATGCGGTTAAGGTCATTAAATTCGGTGTTAATATAATTCAAATTAAGGTTTAACGATCGAGTCCTCGATACATATTTAAAAGCAAAGACCTAATTTAATTTTAAAATTGTTGATTATAAAAATTTACCATACGCCTTTATTAAATCTATGCGCTTTTATATATATGCTTAACTAAATAACCTCACGATTAGTTTGTAAACTGAACCCAACGCTACCTTTGACATAGGGTATAGTTTCATTTGCCAACGAAACTTTAAAAACAATACCTCACACATGCATACATTTGTGGTGTGGTATGACGCAGGCATGACGCAAATTGTCATTCATTCGAGTCTTAAAGATTGGTAAAGCCTGAAATGTTGCACGTTAAAACGCGCCTAATACGAGGCAAGTTTGCCGGAATCAATGCTATATTTCAAATATGTCGTTGCGCTAGATTTCGTGATTAATTTTTTTTTTACCATTGGCTTAGCATAGCGCGAGTTTCAAAGCTCGATTTCCGGTTGCGGCTTGCAAAAAAAATTTGCAAGCGCGGCGAGTACCCACACCCAGCAATCACTGACACTCACATCTTCTATCACTTCTTGTGCATGCCAAGCCGATTGGCTATCAATTGAGCAGGAAATCTAACGCAGAAAAAAAAAGCACATGTTCTATAAGTAAATATAGAATGCTTCTAATCAAAGAGACCAGCAGTTACGTCATTTTCTAACCCCGCAACCGGCTTTGTTTTAAAAAAAAATGGCCCTAGTGCGAGGCGGACCCGCGCTCGAAGGGTCCCGTACCATTTTCTATAAAAACGGCAAAAAACTGTTATTATTCTGTTTTTAAGTACTTGTTGTTATAGCGGCAACAGAAATACAACATCTGTGAAAATTTCTGTCTAACTATCACGATCCAGGGCCTTATAAAGGACACGGTATACGGAACCCTAACAAGTGCCGATTACAAAGCGAAGTGAACCCAGGGTCAATACGCAGCGGTGCCGTATAGGCAGGCCCCGGCCTAAATCGACTGCTGAGGCCAATACCACCTCTCCCTCCAGTGATTAGATCAGGTGCAGTGTAGTGGACCCCCCGAAACACACTAGGGGTGGCCTCTGAGGGGTAATTAGTACAAACCTCCCTAACCTTGTCCCTAGAAGACATTTTGAAGATTTACCCTCAATTAAAAAATAACATGACAAACTTATTATCCATTCATAACGAAATAAGAAATTAACGAATTAGAACTGTTCTATAAGATTCGTAAATGGAAATTGATCGTACTAATTCTTTTTAACGCCAAGATTCAGAAGATGAAATGCAAAATAAAAACAATAAAGTCGTAAGAAAAGATTTATACGTGCTAATGTCTATGAATACAGTCGAAGTCGGGCGAGGATCGAACATTGTACCGTTGACACAGTAATCGGGCACCCGATGGTTCATTATGTTACGTGAAACAAAAACACTATTTCAGCAGAAGCACGAGACAACGGCCGGCTCACTGACCGACATACGAGCGCCAAATCCGGGGAATGTTCTATATCGCTTAGTCCAGGGGTGGCCAACTTGTAAAATAAATCTATTTTTAATCTTAGAAACGAATTGTAACCAACTTCATGGTACAGGTTAAATGATACTATAGTTATGCGCTGTCTTTTAGCATGAGCCAATATAAATTAAATCATGGTATAAAAATATGATTACGTACTCCATTTACCACTTAATCGTATGACTTGCCAATACGCTTTAGACTAAAGACCAAATTGTCTTCGCGACCCGCCGTGATCGGTTTGCTGACCACCCCTGACGAAGCCAATGACTCGCTATTTAGATTTTAACAGCGACGTCCATAAATATATCAAGTGAACGTTGAAATCGAAGGAGCGTGAGAGGCGTGACCTTGACAGGAGACCAATGAGGAAATCAGGCAAAACTATCATCGTCACTTTGCGATGCTTTTATTATGAGAAGGTTCTCTCTTAAAGTAATTACACCCCACAAGGTCCGTTACCTTGGGAGGATTGCACCAACCTTTAAGGCGATTGGCCCCCTTACTTTAGACGCCAGTAAAATAAAAAAGTATAAGCGAGATGTGCGTCTTCCTTACACCGCTTTTCTGTGATAATGAATATGCCGAATAGATCATTAGAAACATATAAGTTATGTCATGGAAAAGTGTCAATGAGTTGTGTATCAACTGTCGAGATATGAATACTAAACAATTCATGAGCATGAAAAAAGAACCCCTGAACGAGAAAGGAAACCAAAGATCGCAAAGAAGCATCCCACACACCGATCTGGACAGAAATCAGAGCACTCTTCGTGTCTACAAAATAGTGTTTATTGCATTTACACTATTCGTTACATGAAAAGGTGAATGATTTTGATTCCTATAATATCGACTTATCTTCCATTAGGTTCAAAGAGAACAAAAGGCTACAGTTCCCTATTAAAATTAATTTGCAATGACAATAAACAAAGTGCAAGGGCAAAAATTGGAGGCAGCAGGGGGATAGGAAAATGTGGATGAGTAGTCAAGTTTAATAATGTCCAATGCTCACTACGCCACACAGTCGTTAACGATCAAGCATTACAATTTTTTTTTTTAATTTAATGGCGTAAATTTTATACAATGTGTTCGTAAGCATCAATAAAAAAAAAATACATTTTTAAATAGTGTGACCGTTATCGGAATAGTTTGTTCACAATCATGTAGCCAATGTATCCGGGGTCAGTGTAAATGTTAATAAAAAGGCCTCTCACTATCATAATGAAAGGTTATAATGTTCCACTGCGCATGAAACTGCAACAAGTGTGACAAAAATAAACATTTTTTTTTGTATAGGGCCTCTTATTTTTTTTTTTATGTGAGTAGGTGACTAAGTTATAACCGCTGGTTACCTCACTCGTCAGACTAAATGCGAAGTTCACACTAGTCTTCTGTGAGGTCATGGTACTTCCGCGGACGGACATGCTCATTCGTGCAACAGCGGAAAGTTATGCATTCTCTTCATGCTGAACATTGCAGCTCCATCAGCATAGATATACGTAAATCATTGGAAAGTGCATCACGAGTAAAATATACGCGAAATAGACGCGTAGAGAATCTATATATAAATCTTGCGAAAAGACGGAGGGGATTTCATTTTGCTGACGAAATATTAGCACGAAACAGAAGTGATACGGGCTAACACTATAAAGACACTTAAAGACTTTATAACTTTACATCGATATTACATCTTATTATTTTCGTATCCGTAAAATATATACTATACAAAAGATGACCTAGAAATCGT